CTTGAAGAATCCTCACACCCCCCGATGCGGAATTGCGCAAGACCGCCCAAGATAGAGCTAAAGCCGCAGCGAATAGGTACCTCATAGAACGGAGAGGAAAAAAAAGCAGGGGAGCGGGGGATGCGTCACAGAGACAAGCCATTCGTTGAGCTGCTAAACAAGGTACAGCGTCGATCTGAGCACATTTTTAGGTGTGCGAAGTTCTACGGCGAGAAAATGATTATGGGAAAACTAAGTGGTTGCCAAAGCTCGAGAAGCTTTTGTCCGAAAGTTGGTGATTTCATTTGCAAATACTGGCACCAACAGTGGCTCGAAAATCGGTGTGTGACGATGATCTCATGTTAGCGATGTTACTGGGTCGCCAGGCTTTTCGATTATCTGTTGCATACCTCAGGTTCTCATCAGTTCAGTGTGCTATCTCCGATGTACCGGTGACATTCTCAGGCGCATCTGTCAGAATCCGAGAAAAAAAATGAAGTTTTATCACTGCAGACGATTATTACTTGTGACAAATGGAAAAGGACAAGAATGTATCCACGGATGTATTCAGCGACTGCCTCCTCGCTCCAGCGGCCCCCCAATGCATACACACACATTCAGCAGCACTCTTCGCTCGCATCCGAAGAAGCGTAGTGATCCTGGTCATGTCGCTTTATTGTGCGTCTGGTCACTTGTCTCACTTCGAATTCCCACGGCATTCGTAGCTGGCAGAGCATGTTGTGTGCCGGACGTGCGTCGCCCATCACTTCGCCATTTTTTAATACAATTTTCGCAACTGGCATATTGTCTACACCGTATTTGTGTCTCAGATAGTCACATCCGGAGCATCTGAAGTACTCGCGCTGCTCCGTAAAATGTGTCTTCCGGTAAAGCCGAAATCCGTTTCGTTCCGGTATCGCAATAGCATTCTTTTTTCCATGAAAATTCTCAACCCGAAGCACCGGCACCTGCATAACGTATAAACATATTGAAATAGGTTGTCCAGTTGAAGAAAAGTAAAATACATGAAACACGCCCCAACTGCAAGCGAACACCAGCACATGCAGCAAGACAACAGTATTTGTTCTCAAAAAGTCGCAGTCCAAACCTTTTTCGCACTTCACAACCCACTGAGGGACACGAGCAGAAACACACCCTGTTAACATCAACACACGCTCCAAGCATTTTTTCAACTGTTTAACTTAACGAAAAAGCGGAGCTACACCGATTTTTGGATCTAACAACTTCATGAGACGAAACGAACGCCAGGATCTGTAGTAGGGTGCCCGTCAAGCAATGCCGCACTGGTCAAAGCAACTAAGAAATTTCCTAGCTTTAAATTTGGGGAAGCAGAAGATGAGTTACAACTATTTTAGGTACAGGTCTCTTCGGTCGTCAGCATATCCTGGCCTATGAGGCTAGAACACGCTGACGACCGATGAAATTATGAACTGAAATAAAACTTTCCCAGCAGAGGAATAAAACTTTTCCCATCACAGCACAAAAAAGGATATAACAAGAAAACGATGCCAATTCAAAAACATGCATCATTGTTGTGATAGGCCGATGAAGCACTGTCTTCTCCAGAAACATAATCGGGGATTTGCTGCGCAATTTCAATTGATTCCAGACCCTAAAAATGCAAGTCGGCACACTGTAAGCTTAGAATGAGAACAGTCGGAGGAATTTCAACTCTCAAAATTTCAAACACAGAAGCTTTCT